TATGTGTGTGCAGGAGTGCCTACAGATATAGGTGGTCTTTTAACTGGTTAAAAGCTGTTTCTAAAGGGTTATGTTTTGTTTTTGTGTAATCTACCTATATATCATTAAGTGAGGAGAGTCCACTATAATGTATGATGTCAGAGCCAATGACTCAGATGCTGAAGCCTGAGCTGGCTACAGCGGTATATGCTCCAGTGCTGTGGCTTGAGCTTGCTGAACAAATTGTGGAGACAGGTCTAGCTCCAATCTTCTGGGGATACCTGTTAAAGTTTTTTATGGTTCAGTCAATTGGATGCCCAGAGGGATCTTAGGCATCTGACTGGACTATATTGTGTTGTGGATGGCAGGTTTCAAAACAGTAGCAGGAAGTAGTATCAGGAGAGCTTTGGCCAAAAAAGTTTTGTCCAAGGTGACCATAGCATTACAGTTACTTCCAACTGTAAATAGGGTGTGCTGAGCATCTGTTGGGGCATCCATTTTTAGAAACGGTTCATCCCACTACAGCATGTGGCACCTAAACAGTTAGGTCTCAGCCTACAGAGAGCTTGTCAGGTTTCTTAATGAGAAAGACAGTGACTGTTAGAGTGTGGAGGCAAAAGGGGAAGGCAGCCATTAGTGACCAAATCCAAGTATTTGCACAAATAGCCCACTTGGTATTCATAGGGTCTGACAGTCTAAGTAAGCATTATTTATTTGTGAACTTGAGGATCCAGATTCTATTATAGCCAGCAGCTCTAAGAAATTTGGAGAGTTTCTTTCTTGTAATCATTTCTGCCAGATATTGCAGCAGAACTATTGTGTCTTTACAGCAGGCAGCTTGGAAGTGTTCTTAATCAGAAGTGCTTGTTAAAGAGGCAACAAGTTTTTGAACCTCTGGGAGGTTGAGGCCAGGTCAGTTGTGAAGAAAGGCTGCCTGACAGGAGCCAATTTAAGGCACATTTTTAGGTCCAGGCAGGTATATCAGCAGGCTATTGGTGACAGAAGACTGAGGCAGTGTACGTAGAGGGCAACTGTGGTGGCAAGGGAAGCTTGGAGATTTTTGCTGGGGGGATCCTGGGAATTGAACTCAGGACCTTGCACTCGCCAGGCAGGTGCTTATGCCACTGAGCTATATCCCAAGCCCCAGTTGAGAGATCTTGAACTGTCTATACAGGCAGAAGAGCAATCTGACAGTATATACTTTTGGCTTGTGGGACCATGATGGGGCTAGAAGGAACAGAGAAAGCTCGGAGAAAAGGTGATGGTGGCCTGACCAAATCTTTCAAAACCACCCTGAAAATAGTAGGTTTGTTCTTAACCTGTTGCAGCAACTGAGTCCAAGGGAACTGAGCTTTTATCTCAGAATCTTCCCTGTTGAAGTGGATGAAGGGTGCATCTCACAAGCAGAGAAAAGCATCTTTGAAATCCAGAACAGTCCAAAAAAAGGTATATGTGTTGGGAAGCACAGAAAGCAGGGTGATGACTGTGTTGCTGATGGCACAAAGATCTTGCCGAAAGTGATTAACAGTGTATTAGGCTGATGTGTAACTAGGTGCCTGTTTGCGCTTCTAGTGGAATCTGCCAGCAGTGGGAGGGGAAGAAAGGGGTGTCATAGTGAGGTGGCATAGTGGATGGCCAGGCCCGCAGGTGAGTCCTTAGTTTATACCTCTTAGAGGAGAGTTTTCAGAACTTCAGGATTGCACTTATCTGTCTCAGACTAATACAAGCATCGTCTTCCTCTTCAGGAACAGTCAGAGTTGAAAGTACAGGGTGCAAAGGAGATGGTCACTTCCAACTTGAACAGGAGGTCTCTTCCCAGAAATGGTACAGTGATTGGCTTATGCAGGAGTTTATGTTTCGTGAGATGTCCTCTCAGGCTGCAAGTCTGTGCCTGCCAGAAGGGAGGAGAGGCAAGAGTCCCACTTGCCCCAGTGATGGTATTATAATAATACCATCTCAATAATAATAACTGACCCAGTTGAAGAATGGAGCCTGGTCTGGCCTAGTCTGAGGCCATCAGACAGATAAAGGGATTGTCATCTGATCCAGGCTGAAGGTTTTGAGAGTTATCTTTTATTCATTTAATTATTTATTTGTATTTATTTATTTAGTATTCATAGACCTTACAACACATAGCTGGAGGACTTGGTTACTTATCAGACTGGATTTTTTATGGATATCAGATGACTTTTTTATTTTTAGTTTTTTCTCTTCTTTATTTTAAAAATTTAAAAACTGTCAAGACAACAATGAAGATAAAATCAAAACAACAAATATGATAAATGACCTCAGAATAAAAAGTTAGAAATTTACAATTGTTGCTATATTACATACCGTGATCTTCAACAAAGTTGCTCAGTCCACTAGACATAAGAATGGAAGATTGATCAAAC